AAATCCTAATTCTGTATCAAGCATTGCAAAACGATACATGTATATACATCAACAGTCATAAGGTACCTGAGGTTAGTACAATATACATCACTTCTAATTAAAATTAGATGTAAGATCCGCTCGCATACTCGCTACACTAACATCTAACAAAATCCCAAAGAGGGTCACGTCTGAGGTCAAATTCTATCAGCCAAACAAATTGTCGCCTGCAAAATCAGTGTATATTTGTTGACGTTATCGGCGCGAATATGTCTAGAGTTGTTCCGAATTTGGCCTCTGACGTGACCCTCTAGGGATGTTGTTAGATGTAACAGGGGTTTTCCTGGCTTGTTTTTGGGTCCGTTTACAGGACCCATTCCCAATCAAAAAATCAGCCATATTTTCCCAATTCTGAATCTTTTTTTCCCAATTTTGTATTCTTAATTTTTTTAGAGAGTTTAGAAAGAAGTACAATACTTTGTTTCCCTGCAAGACGTCTGAAAATCTCAACAGGTGTCAACATGCAATTGTATCTTTGAGCTATATCATTTTTTTTTATCATCCAATAACAGCTGAATAATGTGTAACTCTTTATATCTGTCTACAGTTGTTTACTCTATTGTAACAGAGATTTATTGGGCCCTTCATTTTCATTTATATGGGAAAATAACAAAATTGTATTTTTTCTTGTAAAACTGCTATTTTAGTGGGCATACTTTGATAACATAACACCCCCTTTATTAACATCAAGTCATTATCAACCAATATGATAACCCAAAGTATTAACTATATTTTTTAATTTCATTTACTGTCTTTGATTCATAAATTATATTGAGAAGTCTTCTATCTGTATAATTTGCTTTTGTAAAACAGACATTGAAAAAAAAATAGGAAAATCAAACATGAGGTTTAATGATTTTTTTTATTTGATCTACAAACATCATTTAAAAGATAAACAGAAACAAAAGCATGGAGACATTATTTTCATCATACAAAATCATACATTTCTTTAAAATCAATACAAATGAAGAATATATATAAGGAAAAATCAGAAAAATACCCGTGTGTGATAAAAATAAAAAAATGAAAGAACAAGATGTGTTTGTGAAACACTATGCGCCCAGCGACAACAAAATTCTCTTAAAAAGCTATTTTTAGCATATATGTCACAGTCAAGGTCATTGACCTTGGTGTCATTTGAATGAAATAGGTTAGTAAAGTATGGATACCAAATATAAAGTCTCTATCTCTTGTGGATCAAAAGTTATGGCAAATAATTATACAAAAAAACTATTTTTAGCAGAAAATTCAGTCAAGGTCACAAGTCATTGACCTTGGTGTCATTTGAAAGAGATTAATTAGAAGAGTTTGCAAACTAAATATGCTGTTTCTATCTTCTATGATTCGAAAGTTATGGTGAAGGTTCAAAAACTATTTTTAGCATACAGGTCACAGTCAAGGTAACAAGGTCTTGACCTTGAGGTCATATGATAGAGCTTAATTAGTGGAGAACGCATATTAAATAGTAAGTCTCTATCTTTCATGGTTTAAAAGTTATGGCGAAGGTTAAAGTTTGCAGATAAAAGTTATTTTTAGCATATAGGACACAGTCAAAGTCACAAGGCCATTGACCTTGGTGTCATTTGAAAGAGCTTAATTAGTGGAGCATGCGTACTACATATGAAGTCTCTATCCTTCATGGTTCAAAAGTTATGGCGAATGTTAAAGTTTGCAGACAAACAGACAAACAATAAAACAGACAAACAAACAGACAGAACAAAAACAATATACGCCCCGGATCCATCAATCCAGGCGCATAAAAAATGTCTGAAATAGAAAAAAAAATTTTAAACCATGTTAAAAAATACATTCAAAGAAATTACTTTTCAAAATAATTGGACTGTTTTTATACTGTTGACTCGAATATGTTTTAGTCTTTCTAATTATTAGTATACATTACAAATACTGTTGAAGTATCATGGTGCATTGCAAAGCAGTGTTCTGATATTTTATTGGTCTCATTAATCCATGAAAAAAACATTTTGTATGTCACATATATTTTATGTGAATCTTCTTTATATCGAGGGACCCATGAAATTACGCCCTCAAGAACCAATACAATTTTGCTTACCCATAAATATTAACCCCCCCCCCCCGGAAATAAAATGATACACTGAACATGAACCATAAGGAGATAACGAACAATTAATCAAGATCAAAAGTCCATAAAACAATACAAATTAGGAGCAGAGCAAACACGGACCTCCTAAACATCAGAGGTGGGATCAGGTGCCATAGAGAAGTGAGCATCCCCTGCCCTGCCGACCAGTTAAACCCACCGTGTGCTCCCTGATATTACCGGAAAATAACAGAAAAATTCGTCATCGATTCATTGTTTAAATAATAGACTAACAATTAGTACATCTATTACCTACATTATTACTCAAATATTATTTTTGTCTTCGAATTGAATAAAAAAATACATAATGACAATGGGCTGGTCTAGCTCTTTTGCGACATGTAATTGTGAGGAAGCTTTAAGCAGAGTTCTTGTTCGCTAACAATGTCATGGGGTCATGGGGTAGATGAAAACATATCTATTTTTTTCAAAAACAGTCTATTGGTATCTAAGGGTGAAACGTCTACTGAATTTTGTAAACGTTTAAACGGATAGCAGTAAACGAAACGGTACCGTTTAAACGGGAGATATTCTATGTTGGATTTTTATGGATACTTACTCATGAAACTCGAATTTAATAATCAATTCTTTCACTTAATATAAATATGAGTTGTTATTACAAATTTATTGTTGGTCATTGTGATTTAACTGTAAGAATTTGAGGCGCATTATACTCATTCACTTCCGACCTCGTCACCCAACTGCTTGGTTTGTTTGGCTACCGGACGTAGAAAAAATAATTGTAAAGATGGATCTTTTAATCTCGAAAAAAGTACAACAAGACCTGCTGACTGTATTGAAACTTTTCAAAGACGTGAAAAATGTATTATATTTATTTAATCGAAATATATCAAGTTTTATATTTCAAGTGTCGTAAAACATCGCGAGTATAAGCAACTCGGAAATCGGAATTAATTATGTTAGCCCGTGTCGGGTTTTAGTTATTTTCATTCAATATGTTTCCGATTAGATTGTTGCTCAAAGACGGTGTTTCTTTTGTAAATTATGAAATAAAACAAATTTGTTTTTGTTAAACTTTATTTCTGATAGACATTGATAATGATATTCATTTAAACGTTTACTCAAACTGTAAACGTTTAGAGCATATAATCGAAACGTCGCCGTTTACACGTGTAATCGTTTCGCCCTTATTGGTATCTAATTCTTTTGCATTAAAGAAATTAAAAGTTGCTTCACATTCTAAGGTTAGAACATTATTTTCCTAAAAATAATATTTATCTTGCCTTTATCAGCCCCAGAAAGTAAAGTGTACTAAATTTTCAAAAATAACAAGCTAATTCAGAGAATCCTTCATGCCCCTGTGCTAAAATAGCGAGATGTAATAACAATAAATACTAAAACAAACGGGGCTGGACACTTTGAGAGGGATGAGAGAGATCCTAGGGACTTTTGGTGTAAAATTACATTGCAAAGGCTCAAAATCCTCTTGAAATATCACCCGAAAAAGATAGTGTTACACACAAACAGAATGTATACATTTATGACCTTGAACTTTGACCTCTTGACCTCAAAATTAATAGGGGTCTTCCTTAAGCCACAGGGAGTTATTATGTAAAATTACATTGCAAAAGCTCAAAGGGTTCTCGAGATATCGTGCGGAAATGAAAGTGTTATAACAGACAGAATTTGCAAATTTATGACCTTGACCTTTGACCTTTTGACCTCAAAATCAATAGGGTTCTTCTTTAGTCCATAGGTAGTTGCTATGCAAAATTTCATTGCGAAAGCTCAAAGGGTTCTCGAGATATCCGGTGGAAACGAAAGCATTACAGACAGACAGAATGACGGACGGACATACCCAAATTATTATCCCCCAATTTTCAAGCGGGAGACAAAAATGACTGGAATTTAAATTACTCAAAAACAAAATCATTATTCTTCATGTTTCTTAGTTATAGGAATTATAAAATCAAAAAGATAAAGTAATCAATCGTACCAAGATATTTATTGCTTGAAATTCATATAAACCAATTTCGAATATATAGAGGGGCTCATCATGCCTTTATATCTTGTTCCCATTATTATCAATATTTATATTTCAAATTTCTTGTTCTCGATTTTTTTGGAGACTCGGAATGTAACCCAACTGATTTAATGACATTTTATGAATCTCTGAATCCACAGTGTAAAACCAAATATCATTTTCCCTAGCCCATTCCATAATTCCCTTCTCTCCCTCAAGCAAATGTTTTATCAAAATAGGCTCGTCGTTATTCTTTCCATTTTCTAAATATAAAGGATCAAGTATTTCAATTATATAGCAATGCAGGTATATTAAGAAAGCATATAAATCATTTCTCCCCAAATTTAGACTTTTTAAAGAAAATTAAGTTTGATAATTTACCAAAACTGCTTATTAATTAACGTAAACTATTATTATGTATATTGCATAAAGATAAAAGAGTGTCTAACTCAAAGACATGCACCATTACTACTGCATCACATGACTTCTATTAATAGCAAAATGTTCCTTAGTAAAAAAAAGATAACAGAACAACAGCTTCCCGGAGTGTGATAACTTAGAGTAAAGAATATAGTAGTCCAAGAACACCTATTATGCATAAAAAGTGTTGTTAGAATCCCACTGTATTAAATATAAAACTGTAAAGTAATTATTCCACTCATTCGCACGAAGCCTTAATCAGTGTTTTGAATTTTATAAATATGACCCGAATTTTTTCGTGAAAGCATGCTCACCTCGGGATTCTAGCAACACTTTCTATAATAAATATAAGCATTTCAAGAGGTCTTTCCACAGAAAGGTGGTAAGATCTAAATATAATAAATAAATGCATAAATAAATACTTTGAAAAAATATCACTTAATAATATTAGTTAGTATGTTAGACATTAATTACAGTAACGTCGATTAAATATTGCATTTTCATTTCAGAGTGTTTTTATCTGTAAAAAAATCACACCAAAGAATGACTTCTGGACCAAACGCTGATGACCGTTCCAGGTTTGCCAAACTCGGAATGGCAATAAACGAAGAATTAACCCAGGCCTGTAGAGACGTCTTAGAAATGGAGGTACCTCCTGGCCTTGTCTACAACAAAGTAAAATCATCATCGGTTTATAAAAACATACGCCCCGAGCAAGAACTTCGTCTTATAGGTGCCAAAACAGATGGTTATAAACAATTTGATATTACATTGTTATATACACTGATAAGAAACATATGTACAAAGATTCCTCGTCCAACAAAAGGTTGGGGTGGAAACACGATGCCGGCAATAGGACAAATAACGACCGGTGATGACGTCGAGAGAATCAGATTAATACGAAACAGCATGTTTGGACACATAAGCTCGGCTTCTACCTCAAAGACAGATTTTGATAACACGTGGTCAGTCATAACAGATATCTGCCAAAGATTGCAAACGTGCACAAAGAAAGACTACATGACTGGCCTTAGTAACATTCAAAGACAGACCTTGGAAGAGGAAAACGAAACAACAGTCATAGAAAAACTTAGAGAAGATTATAAGAATAACCAATGTTTAATGGAAAAGATGTCTTCCTTGGAGCAGGATTTGTTAGAGTCGAAATTAAAATCGGAAAACAAAGGTTAATATTATGCCTACTGTTATTCAGATAAATACTATGTACGATATATGGCGGAAGTTTGTATTACAAGTTAACATAAATTTGATAAATGCATTTAAATTAAGATTGCAACAATATATATGTTTCAAAACTAAAATGAAAAGAAGTAAATAGAATACATTTAGTTTTAAAAGATTTAAAGCTTTAAAGAAAAATATAATTTTGATAATAACATTTCACATTTTTACACTTTATTTGAAATGACATATTTGTTACAGAAAATACACTGGTAAAAGACATTCTCCAGAATTGGCAAGAAGAAGACACTGCCTTCATTCCTACAAGAGCAAGTGAAGTGGTTGAGGAAAAGCTTAAAAGTCAGAACCTAATCGCGCTGGTTGGTAATTCTGGTTCCGGAAAATCTGCAATAATTCAACATATTGCTCTCAAGTATGAAGAGCGTGGATGGAATGTCATACCTGTGAATAAGGTGGAAGAAATAAAAACGATCTGTTCAAATGGAGTCTCAGAAACTCGGTTTTTATTCATTTTCAATGATCCTTTAGGCAAGGAATCTTTGGATGAAATTTCATATCATTCATGGAAAAGTTTTGAGGAAATGCTGGAGATGTGCTTGAAGAGAAATAAATTATTGATTTCATGTAGACGATGCGTCTTTTATGACAAGAGAGTCAAGGATATCCTAGTGGATGAATCTACTGCAGTAGAAATTGACAACAAAGAAAATGGGCTCACGGTTGAAGAGAAAAGAGCAATTTTTTACCAGTATTCACAGAATATGAAATTAACCCAAAGTATTGAAACTGAAATACTCAAAACAGATGCTTACTTTCCATTGCTTTGTAAGCTTTTTTCAAGGGAGGCAAACTACAAAGAAAAAGGAGTTGATTTATTTAAAAATCCATACAAATTTATTAAACGGGAAATTGAAATTTGGAAGAAAACAGACAAAAAGAAATTCTGCTCTCTTATATTGATTGTAGCTTTTAAAAACAATTTGAATGTAGATTCCATTGTAAGAAGCGATATTTCCATGATGAAATATAAAGAAATTTTAGGAATGTGTGAGTTACAGGAAAACACACATATTTCAGTCATTCGCTGCACTCTAAATGAATTGAAAGGATCTTATGTTAAACGTGTCGGACATGGCTTCCAATTCCTTCATGACTTTATTATGGAGATAACGACTTTGGTGTTTGGTGTTGATTGTCCACAAGGGACCATGCAGTACGCAGATAGTGGTTTTCTACGACGCCGAGTGAGGATAGAAGACGATACAGAAGAAGAAGAAGATCGCGACCCCTTTACTGTTTACCTGCCTGAAGAATATATTGGTGATCTTGTGGACAGGTTTATCATTGACATGCAAACAGAACGCCTTGTAGATGTTCTACTCAATCCATGTTTAAGGAAAGAGAGTGTCATAAAAACCTTTAAAGAAAAGGTAGATTCCCTTGAAAAACTACTTGTCAGAATAAAATGGAAAATAGACAGATCGGAATTTCCAAAAGCATTTGAAGGCGCCGCTGGTTTATCAAAAATTCGTTTCCTTAATTGGAAAGATGAAATATGCCCCTTGGTCGGATTCATTATTTTTTGTCATAATGATATTTCTTCCTTTTTCTTAAAAAGTATCTCTGAAACGCAGTTGAAGGAATATCCTATATTTTCCGCTTTGTGTGCAAATAGCGATTTAAACCTAATAAATTATCTAAGCGAGGAATTGATAAAAACATCAATAATGGAAAAGTGGGGTGGTGGTTATTTACCAATTCACATTGCTTCTGTATTCCATAATTTTTCAATGATTCGAGAATTAGTAAAGTTTGCTGCTAATGTCAACAACTTTACACCTCATGGGAGCTGGACTCCATTAATATTAGCTGCTTCAAATGACGACGAACATTTGAGAGAGACTGGACTTGGTACAAATGAGGGAGAGAGACGTAATAAAACCATTCTTTGCCTATTAAACAACGGTGCCGACATCAATCTGTGTAATAAGAATGGATCAAGCCCTCTTCATGGAGCTTGTGAATTTGGGAATGATAGCTCGGTACAACTGTTACTGAACAACGGCTCCGACATCAATCTAAGTAACAAGAATGGATTCAGTCCTCTTTATAAAGCTTGTCAAAATGGACATGCTAGTACGGCACAACTGTTACTGAGCAACGGTGCCGACATCAATTTATGTAACAATAAAGGAGTCAGTCCTCTTTATAAAGCTTGTCAAAAAGGATATGATAGCATTGTTCAACTGTTACTGAAAGGCGGGGCCGACATCAATTTATGTAACGAGAATGGAGTTAGCCCTCTTAATATAGCTTGTGAAAATGGACATGCTGGCACAGCACAATTGTTACTGAAAGGCGGGGCCGACATCAATTTATGTAACAAGAATAGAGTTAGCCCTCTTAATATAGCTTGTCAAAATGGACATGACAGCACTGTAATACTTTTACTGAACAACGGTGCTGACATAAATTTATGTGATAATGAAGGAACCAGCCCTCTTTTTACAGCTTGTTACAATGAGCATGTTAACATGGTACAGCTATTACTAAACAAGGATGCTGACATCAATTTATGTGATTGTGATGGCCTCAGTCCCCTACATGCAGCTTCTCACGATGGATATGATAGCATTGTTCAATTGTTACTGAACAACGATGCCGAAATCAATTTATGTAACAAGAATGGAACAAGTCCTCTGTATGTAGCTTGTCAGAATAGACATGATAGCACGGTACAACTGCTACTGAACAACGGTGCCGACATCAATTTATGTAACAAGAAAGGAGCAAGTCCATTCTATATGGCTTGTCTAAATGAGCATGAAAGCATGGTGCAGTTATTACTAAATAAAGGTGCCGATATCAATTTATGTTTTGATAATGGACCCAGTCCCCTTTATATGGCTTGTTACAATGGGCACGATGGCATGGTACAACTGCTAGCAAACAACGGTGCCAATCTTAATTTAAGTGACAATGATGGAGTCAGTCCTCTGTATTTAGCTTGTCAAGATGGACATGATGACAGAGTACAACTGTTACTGAGCAATGGTGCCGACATCAATTTATGTAATAATTATGGAGTCACTCCTCTCCACGTTGCTTGCTATTATGGATATATTAGCACGGTACAACTGTTGCTTAAAAACGGCGCAAATATCAATTTGTGTGACAAAAGTGGAGCAAGCGCTTTGTGGATTGCTTGTCTAAATGAACATAATAGCACGGTACAACTGTTACTGGATAAAGGTGCAGACATGAAATGGAACAAGTCCTCTTTATTTAGCTCGTCAAAAGGGATACGACAGCACGGTACAACTGCTACTTAACTATAGCGCTAACACCAATTTATGTGATAACGATAAGCTTTAGTTGTATCTTGTCAAAATAAACAGCTCGGCACATATTTAACTTAACAATGGCGATGATATTGATAAATACTGGTATAACTAGTCGTCCTTTCTCTTAGGATGATTAAAAAGGTGAACATTACAGTTCTGGAAACATGAGCCATTTCAGTTTCATGACTCTGATTACTTGAACAAAACATTCTCAACCGACGAATTAAGTGTTTTCTCTCGCAGGACTAATATCGAAGTTTTCTAGTGAGTTTCGGAGGACATTTTTTTTTTGTGCAAACAATCGATTCGTTTCACAGTTTAGTTTTGTTGTACTGACTTATTTTAAAATGGGTAAAAACTGGTTCTGTTGCACCGAGAGCGAAATCAATACTTCCAATGAACCGATGCTTTAATATACACCTGTACTTGTAATTGCATTTAAGTATACCCTTATTATCTTTTGTGTGTTTATTGCATTTTTGTGAAGATTACTATGTTGTATCTTTTCAATTTTTCTGATTCAAAAGAAGTAAACAAAAGATTATGTAATTTTTTTTAGAATTTGGCAAAATGCTCATTAGAAGTAAATGCAATATCCTGTAAATTATCGCGATATAAACTATTAAAATATTATATTGAAAGGAGACGAATTTGTCTGATTTTAAGGCCAGCGGATTTAAGTAACCCCACATTCCCTGGAAGTAGATTTATTTTCAATTACTTCCTTATAATATGTAAATTTTGCATAATTTATTAAAAATGTGACTTTCTTCCCCCATGTCTTCCTGTTCATGAATTTGATCTCGTAAATTCCTATAGCATTATTTCTGGAGTTACATGTAATCATAGACTGTAAAAGTGGTTATTTACGCGAGGAGGAAATTTGCACTACTTAAGCGGTAAACTAAGAACTACGTAAAATACCCCCGCGCGTATGGTCACAAAATAATTTCAAACTTCTGGAATAATTCTCGATCAATACCGGTACTTATACTGTTAGACCGATATTTGTTTTGATGTGCTGAAAAATTACTTGAAAATAGTCTAGATGATTCATTTGTTATAAAGTGTAAAATTTTTAAACAAAACTTTTTTTAAAAATGCTATCCCAACCCTCATTGATTTTTAAACTCTATATATGTTTTTTAAAACATTTAATGAAAGACACAAATGATATTCGTACAAAAAATGGAGAGAAGAACCAGAGACCATAAAACTTCATTTTTCAAAAAAAAAACAAAAAAACAAAACAAAACGTGTAAATGCAGTTAAAATCCAATTTGTATTTTTGGCGATGATAGCTCTGTAGTATGATTTAGTTGTATTTGATAGAGGTCATGATTATAAGTTGTTTCATTGCATGAAATATCGTTACCATAAAAATGCGTTGTAGTGTTCTGATTAGTATATCATGATTAACAAGTCTTAGAGCAAATGCTTTGCTAAAATCCAAATAAGTAATGCCGACAAAATTTTCTTCATTTATTGCATGCAGCCAAGTATCAATTACTTTTGTGAGAGCTGTCTGGTAAGAAAAAAAAATGTGACTTTGTTCCTCCTAAAATTTAACTTCTCCATGTCTCCCTTTTTATGAAATTGATCTTATAAATTCCTAACATTATTTGTGGAGTTACATGTAACCATATTCATATAGTGCGAAATTCTGATTTTACACGCGTTGTTACACCCCTACTAATGTGTTCGGAACCTTTTATTTTTCTGTATTCTGCAAATTATAAAACCCAATGAGTTCAGAGTAGCTCTGGCAGTGGCTCTGGCGAGAGTTATAGCGAGACTTTAGCGAGATAGGGTAAAATATTCACGGAAATGTGGCTAGGAAGTGGCTAGCACGTGGAGCCATGGTAAACAGAAAAGATATGTTGCGTTTCAGTTTTCACCATCCTAGAATCAGCTGATAATGACTGTAGAAATGTACATCAATCCAACGATTTCTCTTACAATCATTCAAACTTAAATAAGTATTCTCTATAATTCAGTTTTCTGCAGTCATGAATTTACATTTCTTTTTGGACAAATATTTTTTGCATGGAAACTGGGACTATATTTTTTGGCGTCAGATTCGCAAATGAGGCACCAGCATGCTTTTAACAGACCAATCAGCTGAATGAGTATTGCATTATGGGTTACTACGAATACTACAGGAATTTTACGCTTGAAAAAAGGAAAATCTTACGATAAATGAAAAGCATTTTAAAAGATTCTATTTTCATGCTCATAATGACAAACGATTCATTTCTAAAATAAACGGTGGAAGTCTAGGTCTCTGAAAGTCATACTGTACTGCAAAAGCGATTTGCGTCTGTATTAATCCCTTTGTTGTACTATCGGTGAATACAGTTGCCCGGTGGATTCCCTGACCGAACACGTGATCACGAACGTAAACAAAGTTTTGTTCATTTAAATGCATAACAGATGCTGCTCGTGTTCCTTACCCTTGAAGCGCTGGTGTTCTGAACTAGACACATACTACATTTTATTAAACATTTTCTTTTCAGTTAACAACAGATTAAAAAAGCCAGTAATATCTTTCATGGTTTCTTATATTGTATTTTGTTCATAAGAACATTTTTTTTTTTGCAGTCCATTGACATGATCCTAGATTGACCTGAATACGTGTTCGAAGTAAAATGTAAACATGTATTTGGTGTAAACGTTGCTATTCATTCAACGATTGGTCAGTTGCTCGTGGTAAGATCCTCTGTGCGCATTTATAACAATAGCCATATAAGGCAAACAAAGGTTTGTCAGTGTAGATGATAATACACATTTTTTACCAGCGAATCGGTCACTAGTGAGCTCTAATTTTCACCGAAAAGATATTGTTATTTGAACACCCCTCTTTTAGCCACCCTCTTTCTTTTGAAAATCATGAAAGTCTTTCAGAAAGGTCTGGAAACATTTATTACAGGACATGTTTTCAAAGTAACAGGCTATAGCAATATCATGTTTACTGCCATTTTTATTTATAAAACCGATTCTACCCTATTACCTTTGAATAGGTCAACCTAAACCACGTGTCTTGAATTTAAATCACAATAACATTAGTAGGGGTGTGTTAGCCCGGGGTTCATCGCTCGTACAGCAATGCCCGGTTCGGAAATGCTGCTTCATCACCACCAAATTAAAACTACGAGTAAGAATATATTACGTTTGCGCAATCACCTCTGAGGCAATACAAACAATGAATATTAAATAGACTTTAAAATTTATCTGAAATTGTCGCAAAATAATTATAATAAAATAACTTCTATCGTCTTCGACGATTAATCAATTGCTTAAAATATGCGAAAGGTATTTATCAGGTATCCATGTCTGCGTCGTACTCTATAAATAAAGGTTTTACTATCACTGTATCAGGTTATCACAAATGCAGGAAACATCATTAATGACTTGATGTACGCTTTTATGCAAAACTCCCCGCTGGGGACACATATAATTATGTGCATAATCGTTTGACCTTAAATAATCTTGCTGCATTGTTTATTAACTGTTGTTGGTATATAAAACCCCGAAACGACAAAAATTTTAAGCTTTATATTCTAGTTTTTACTTTTGCATGCTCATTGATTATAGCATTGAAAATATCATTTAAAAAGATTTAAAATGTCATTAGAGTTTCTGTAGTAGAATCAATTCATTTGCATTGTTTAAATCAAACGAAAAATCTGTTTCATTAAAATTTTTTGAAGTCACTATGTTGTATTTCAATATGTTTGCCCTTTGCGTTGAATGCTGTTAGATCTTTCTGTGGCACATATAGGATAAGACACCGCTACAGGGGGTACTACTTTTAGCTCACCTGAGCCAAAGGCTCAAGTGAGCTTTTCTGATCACAATTTGTCCGTTGTTTGTCGTCGTTGTCGTTGTAAACTTTTCACATTTTCAACTTCTTCTCAAGAACCACTGGGCCAATTTCAACCAAACTTGCCACAAAGCATCCTTGCGTAAAGGGGATTCAAGTTTCTTCAAATGAAGGGTCACGCCCTCATTCAAGGGGAGATAATTAGGAATTAATGAAAATTTGGTGGTATGTTTTAAAAATCTTCTTCTCAAGAACCACTGTGCAAGGAAAGATGAAACTTATGGGGAATCATCCTCAGGTAGTAAAGATTCAAGTTTGTTCAAATCATGACCCCCGGGGGTAGGGCGGGGCCGCAATGGCCGACCAAATTTTTACATTGAAATATATAGGAAAATTCTTTAAAAATCTTCTTCTCAAGAATTACAAAGCCATAATTGATCATATTTATATGGAAGAACCCTCAGGTAGTGTAGATTCAAGTTTGTTTTAATCATGACCCCCTGGGGGAGGGCGGGGCCGCAATGGCCGACCAAAGTTTTACATAGAAATATATAGGAAAATTCTTTAAAAATCTTCTTCTCAAGAAAAACACAGACATAATTGATCATATTTATTTGGAAGCATCCTCAGGTAGTGAAGATTCAAGTTTGTACAAATCATGACCCCCGGGGGTAGGGCGGGGCCACAATGGCCGACCAAAGTTTTACATTTAAATATATAGGAAAATTCTTTAAAAATCTTCTTCTCAAGATTAACAAAGCCATAATTGATCATATTTATATGTAAGCATCTTCAGGTAGTTTAGATTCAAGTTTGCTCAAATCATGACCCCTGGGGGTAGGGCGGGGCCACAATGGCCGACCAAAGTTTTACATAGAAATATATAGGATATTTTTTAAAAAAATCATCTTATCAAGAATTGCAAAGCCATGATTGGTTTTGGGACTACTTTTGGATTTAATCTATTCAATAATAAACCAATTTCTACATTTTCCTAGCTACAGTGCTCGGGTGAGCGATGTGGCCCATGGGCCTCTTGTTCACATATATTAGCAGAGTGCACAGTGAAGAAAAAATAATGAGAGTTTTAGAGCTATTATTACGAGGGCTGTTCGGAAATTATTGAGACACTGTATATATTTTTCTTTTTAATAATTTTTCAATA